CACTCTCTTTTGGTTAAATAGTTGGGGCTTGTCTCTAATTTGAACGTGTCTGGCTTTAGCTTCCAGCCATTATTTCTTGTTCTGCTACCATCGTTAATGCCAGTCTGTTCTCCCCATTTCTCAGGCTACAAAGCAGTCCCTCACTGGTGACATGTTGCTGAAAGTCATTCATGGACCGTCAGGACACTTTCTCATTTCCAACGCCACTGACACATCCAATTGCACTAGAGAACATAGAGACATTTCCTGAAGATTCACACCCACAGGACTTTGTGAGTTACTGGGGGAAAGCGGGTGCTGGAACGAGGTGTGCAGGGGGTGCTGCCGAACCCTCTGGTTTGAAGTAGTAACAACAATCCAAAAAGATTGTCTCTGCTTTCAGCACTCCCACCCTAAAACTTCCTCCAGCATCTCTGGAGATTGTCTAAGAACATTCGGAAACGGCTCAGTGTCATGCTGAACGTTTTTCCAAATGCTTAGAAAGTGCCTCAGGGCGTTAAGGTCTATATAGCGATCTGTTATAACACCAGCTAACTCGTCCTGAGTTTTTAGCCAGCTGGATTTATCCAGTAGTTTCTGAAACAGGCCTAACATTCAGCTGAGTCTGCTGGCCCAGTAATAATAAACTGCAATCATAACATTGCATTGCATTTGTTTGTTGTATTTAATATAGAAATATGTTCAATAACCTCAGTACCTTGCACACTCTCATTTAAAGAATTGCAGTCTAATTAATTAACACAATAATATGTCTCAGGACATGAAGTAGTCTGGTGTCTGGGAATTGTGACTGGACTAGACTATTAAATTAACATCTTCCGCCAACAGGCCCATTGTTTGAGCATATTTTATTTTAATAGAAATATTTTTTGTCCCTTGTAACCACACACACACAAAAAAAAATGGTAATCAAATGCTGTGGCAAGGACCACAGCACATTGTTCAATGTAGTTTATTTAGACAGTTTAGGGAGCTCAGCCAATCAGAATATGGGAGTCTAATGTGATTAGCGACCAAGAGCAAAAATGGGCGTGGAATGGAATTCTCCCTGCACTGGGCAAAAGGGAACACCAATTTCAGCTTAGAAGAGGCAAAGAGTGACTGAGACGGCTGTTCCTACTCTAACAAAGACAGGGTCTTGGTACAGGAGATTAACAGTTGTAGCTCCTCTGTGCTCCCTGAGGAAACAAGCGCTCAGAGGAAAAGACTTTCCCTCATCCTCCCAAGAGAATCGCTGGGGAGCCATTTCTTTTCATCTGCCTAGGACGAAGCCTGTTAACCGCCACAAAGGCCATGGCAATGATTTCAGCTGGTGGTTGTTAAAAGAGTGCCCATACTAACTGTCCAAAGACGATTGGTAAAGGCACCTTTAAACCTGCACCAGATGTGTGACTTTCTGAAGTAACACCTGTACAGCCCAGATTTTCCAACAAAATGTTTCCATGAAGGAAAAATCAAAACTTCCAAATAATTTTCTTAAATTAATAAACATTTCCCTGAAGGCCGCAACCCTGGTGTTTGATAGGAGCTACACCGCCACGAGCAGCCTTGTCATGTTGCCACCAGACCCTCCAGTCGAATGCAGCTTACAGACGCACCCAGAACCAACCGACAGCATAGGGCCATTACAGAGTGCCTCAAAACCTCAGCCCCACTGTCTTATGGGTATTTCTTGGTAAAACTAAGGGATGTGTCCCTGACAGAAACATCCTCGCTGGGGCATTAGGCAGTTAGCAGCAGCTCTACACTTGGACTCCGATTCGGTTTTCTAAAGGGGGTCACAGATCTAGGACAGCCTCCACTACTCCAAATTCTTGCCTACGTGTACATGTCAAAGGTCTTTGTATGTTTATCAGGCACCTGATAACACCTCATACGTGTATATGATCTAGTTTGGATCGACAGTTGCCAAAATAACCATTTCTCCGCCATTTTTGCCCTCCACATCTTACTGTATTGTCCATGCTGAACAGAATGCAAAAGGGACAAATAGTGAAAAGCATAAGACGTGTTCCACTCTAAATAATTATTACAAATTTCTGTAATGCAGATGTCTCAAAAATAGCAACTTTAGCAAGCCAGTGATGCTTATGAAATAAGTAAAGTTGAAATGCCTTCAGCATATTTGAATGGTTAGCATTAGATCATTCTGAGGAGACCCACGACAGAAGAACTCAAGACACTTCTAGAGCTACCCCCTTGCATTTTACACCAGGAGTCAAAGTACACCTGGAAAACGGATGTTTTAAAAAGGCGTCTATGTAGCTTGCACCTTGCAATTATCTGCAGCTACAAAACGGCACCGAAGAACAGAGAGCCTGCTTATGAAATCTGGATCCAAATGCATTCAATTTAGAATGATAAAAAATGAGCTTTGTAACCACCAGTCCCGCAAACTCCCTTTGAGATCTGAGAGTCAAGGTTGGTGCTTTGTGCCTTGGACTTATGGGTCACAAAGACTCCTCAAACGGAGTTTAGCCAATGTCTGCATCAGTAAAGCAAGCAGTCGTGACCAGAGACACACAGGGAGCAGTTCTACTGAGTCACCCGATGCCCGTTTTACATAAGCCGTATTCTCCTGTAACCCCGCTTTCCACAGGGAGTCGATTTTCAGGTTGTTCTGAGGTTATCAACAGGAACGACATTACACAAGCAGAACCACAAGACTTCTGCCCACTCCCATTTATGATCTACGCAGTCAATATAACTGGAGGGAGAAGGGGCAGGCCTGGGGACCGCCCAGAATGTACCACACGGGCTCCCACACCGGCCAGCCCTGAGAGTTACCCAGCGTGCACTGCAGAGCGCTCCGGTGGCAATTCAAGGGTCCTGAGCATGGCAGCGGCGCTCTTTTCAATCGCCGGGCCTGGCGATACCATACTTTTGCCCTTAACCCCTAGCACGTATTTTCCCTCCTGGCTGACTTCCTCCCTCTCAGTGGCTTCTTGCTGAAGCTGGAGAGGTTTTTGTGAAGGAGGAAAGTCCTTTCCAGGCGACAGCCCCTTTCAAAAGGCAACTGCTGTACTGGGTAGTGAAGGCTTCTCTGTTTGTAGCTCTGTCTCTGAGAGTAACTGGCGAGGTGGAAAGAATGATGGTTTGATCCCAGCATACCAAAGAAAAGCCGGACAGAAATTACATAGAAGGGCAGCAGCTAAAGAGGCTTCTCCCATCTCCAGGGAAAACCTCAGAGGAGAGGAGCAAAGCAAGAGGACAGACAGCAATGAGCAGTGGGGAAAGAAAGGCAAAAAGAGTCTGTGGAAAACCTTGGAGCTCCAAGGGTACAGGGAAAGCAGGAACTCAGATCTGCTGTGCGCATTATATTTAGCTTCACATTCACTGTTTCCCTGAGCACTGCCACACTTCCAGGCTGTGTCTACACTGCACCCCTTTTCCGGAAAAGGGATGCAGATTAGACAAGTCAGAATTGCAAATGCAGCGGGGGATTTAAATATCCCCCGCTGCATTTGCATGAATATGGCTGACACTTTTTTCCGGCTCGGGGCTTTGCCGGAGAAAAGCGCCAGTCTAGATGGGATCTTGCGGAAAATAAAGCCTTTTCCGAAAGGCCCCTTATTCCTGATTTTAAGAGGAATAAGGGACCTTTTGGAAAAGGCTTTATTTTCCAAAAGATCCCATCTAGACTGGCGCTTTTCTCCGGCAAAGCCCCGAGCCGGAAAAAAGCGGCAGCCATGTTCATGCAAATGCAGCGGGGGATATTTAAATCCCCTGCTGCATTTGCAATTCCGACTTGTCTAATGTGCATCCCTTTTCCGGAAAAGGGGTGCAGTGTAGACACAGTCTCAGTGATTACCACAGTGCTCTCTTCAGCTGACCTCACAAAGAAACGTCCACAGCCTATTGCAATGTTTAAGGACTTGATGAATCAAGGCCCCCTGGAGCAGATAGCCCATACGCCTACACAGCTAACTGTGCTTGGTTGAGTCCCCAATGCTGATTGGTTGACCAAGTGTACATTTATCTTGGGCCCAGTTCTCTGGGCTATTTACAATATGATACAGTTATTTACAATGACTTTCAAAGGTCACTGATTATTCTCTCATACCACAATTAAAGAAACAAGTTGCCATTCCTTTCAGAAGAAGTGGATATGGATAAATGTTCAAAAGCACTTAAATGACTAAAGTGCCTAAGTCATATAGGCATGTCATGGGATTTAGGCACCTAAGTCACTTAGGCCCTTTGCCAATTTTATCCTGGGTGCCTGCATTGCTTCCAGTCAGACAGTGAAGATGCTGAGCTGAGGATTTTTACACATCTGTGGAACATTCCCGCGCTGTCTGTCTCGGAGCGCACATGACAAATGACTCCACATTATGGCCGATCATGAGAATTAAGACATCCATGGGTGTGTTTTCTGCAGAAGGTTAATAATGGGAGGGCTAGGGGTGGGAAATGTTGCAACTCGCCATCTGTGCCAATTGCAAGCCTCCTGTTAGAAGGCACAACCTTCTGGGAAGAGTGGATTTGAAATGATGGATATTCTGCTGCAGCCACATGCAGATGATAATGTACAGCCCAAACAGGGTCTTTGAGAGCACTCACATGAAAAGCCACCAAAGACTATCGACCAGGTGATGAGACTGTTTGAATCTCAAAATGAAGGTGCTTCCTATAGCTGCATGCTGTTGGATTAAGCCATTTTCAATGGGGCTTCTGTCACTACTGGAATTATTGCTCAGGACCTTTATCTTGAAAAACAGAGACTGGATTCCAGCACCATTGCTATGCTGCAGGAAAACTCCTAGGTGAGGTCACTGTCTCTGCAGCGCCGCAGCAAGACGCATTCGAGCAAAACACAGCATTGTTCAGTTCATGCAATTTCAGCCAATTACAGATCCCTCTTGCCACCGCCCCACCCAATCCTAGGGTCTCCCAGGGTCGAGGAAAGCCCTTCCTTCCCTGTTACTAGTTCCCCCAGATAGGTTTGATCAGTAAGTCAATACACTAAGCAGAGGAGCTAGGAGCTGACTGTCTCTTACCTTTGGTTTTAAATGCAAAGTTACAGTACTTGCAGACGTATGGCCTGACGTCTGTGTGCGTGCGAATGTGTTTCTTCAGCATGCTGGGTTTCTTGCAGCGAATTCCACATTCCTCACATACATACTTCCCTCTTCCGCGGCCTCGCACATACACATACTCTTCGTTTGATTTGTACCTATGAGCGACAGGTGTCATGATAAAAAAAAAAAAGATTCCCACCTCAAAAGAAGTAACAACTTTCCTAAATCAATTTGGCATGTTACTGACACCAAAGGTGACAGGCTGAACTAGCAATTTACCCGTAGTCACCAGCTATGAATAATTTGGCTAAACACAAAATATGTTGCAGCTCTCAAGCCCATTTAAATCAAATCCTTGTCTCGCCTTCTTGCATAAGGCGGTGTAATCTACAGCTTCCCTTCCCTCATCTCCATTGGGGCATATCGCAAAATGTGTGACAGAGCTACAGGACGACCTGAATTTCCTATTGCCCTCCCTCATGCTCATCTGAAGAAGTGGGTTTTGACCACGAAAGCTCGTGGAACTGTATCTAAGTCTCTAAGGTGCCACAGGACTGATCATTGTCTTTATTGCCCTCCTGCCTCACAAGCCAAGGCAAATGGGGGGAGTTGACAGTAACCCAATTATTTGCCTCACAATCCTGATCATCTTCCTGAAAACTGTGAGATGTACCACTGTCAGCCACATCTTCAGACATGTCCAAAAATATGCATGACTTGCTACTACACCTCCTAAATGTCTTCCCCTGGCTAATCAGATATAAACAAAATTTTAAAAGTGGCTGGTGATTTTGAGTGGCTCTGTTTTTGGGTGTCCCACTGAGGCACTTTAAAGAGGTCTGTTTTTCAGAAAATGCAGAGCACCCACACTCTGAAAATGAGAGCTCCTTCAGGAGTCTCAAGCGGGGAGCCCACAGATTGAAAGATGCAAAACCACCAATCGCTTTTAAATATCTTGATCAAAAAAACTCTAATGTCAAAGCTACAAGGGGAAAAATGCCATCAACCTTGAAGCAGAATGGAAAAGGAATACAGCACGGAGCTACTTTGTCGTGAGTAATTTGGGCCCTTAGATAAATGAAAGCATGATTAACCTTACCAAATGTCTGTAATATAGAAAGCCTGAGGAATACAAAGAAACCCAGAGAAATTCAAAGCTGAATACTGAAGGAGTTTGACATTATTGTTTCAGAGACTAGGGTGCTAGCTTTGAAGTCACAAGAAATAGGTTCAGTTCCCTACATTGCTATAGATGTACTGAGAGAACTTGGGCTTTCTGTGGCTCAGTTTTTCACCTGTAAAATGGGAATAACAATTCTCCCCTACCTCAGAGGAGAGTTGTGAACATAAATCTGTTAAAAAGACAGTAAGGTGCTCAGTTATATCAGTGAGTGGCTAGAGGAATAAGTGAGGTCTTGTCTCCATGGAAAGGTAAAGGAAAATTAATCCAAATTAGCTAAAGGTGTGACCTTTGAAGTGAATCAGTTAAGCCATATTAAATCCCTGTGTGAATGCAGTTACTTAGAAGGAAAATGGACTTAATGTGGTTTAGTTTAATGCTCTTTGGAATTAACCAAATTAAGGATACTTTAATTCAGAATGAATGTGTTCACACAAGGCAGTTTAACGAATCCATTTCAAACTCACACATTTATTTAATTAATTTTCCTGGATGTCCCCATGTAGACAAGCACTTAGAGGCTAGGAGGACCCAGCTACCTTGCTCAGGAAATGAGGAAAATTACGCCTCTGAGCCAATATAACCTTCCGTGTATACAGGGTGAGGCTGACAGAGCCTTTCTTTTGTTCTAGCTACCACTCATTGTGGAACCACAAGCATCTGATGAAGTGGGTCTTTGCCCACGAAAGCTTATGCTCCAATACATCTGTTAAGTAAATAAGGTGCCACAGGACTCCTCGTTGCTTTTGCAGATTCGGACTAACATGGCTACCCCTCTGATACTTGACATCATTGTGGAAGTGGAACAACTTCAATGAAGAGACAGCACTACCCCCACCCTGTCACCATTATGAATCTCTTTGCTGGAGTCCTACAGCTCTGGAGCCGTGTTGCTGTAGCAGATTAAGTGTAGACGCGGCCTTAGGTAGATCCAGGCAAACACGAAGCAAGAGAAAAAAATGTTGACAGAAAATCCAGCCTGGCCTTGAATACTGAGAATCCAGGGGCTGTCATTCTCACCAGCACATCTGGGGCTGTCATTCTCACCAGCGCAGTCCCTCAGCATAAAGGAGAGTTTCCTTTCAGATCAGGACAACAATTCTTTCAGCCCCCCATCCTTTCCCATGAGAAGGAGCTGTGCAGGGCACTGAAGCGTCGTCAAACACAGCGATCGCATGAGAATCAATTCTCAGGAGTGGGGAAGATTGGAGATATTTGGAAATGTCCCGGTTGCTTGTTCAAAGAGGGCTGAGGAGAGCTTGACATCTGACCTGCTTTGCCATAGCAGCATATTATGAACATTTACTGACATCCGCACTACGCCCCTGTGACACAGGCACATAGTGTGCTGCCAAATCTTTACAGGTTCTTTTCTAAGCAAGGAATATCAGGCTATCAGCCCTGTATCTGACATACCTCTGGGGCAATGGCTACAGGAGGAATGCCAGCTACTTGCAAAGGCAATGCTGAAGATCTTAAGGACAACCAATAGACTTTAGCTGTTTTGCAGAGGGGTGCTGATCATTGGCTTGGGTAAAGCCAGTATCTAGAGCAGTGGTCCCCAACGCAGTGCCCGCAGACGCCATGGTGCCCGCCAAACAATCTGGGCTGGTCCCGTCCCCGGGCACGTGGCACATGCTGGTGCCGGCTCCGGGCGCAAGATGCATGTGCTGGCCCTGCCCCCTCAGCGCGCGGCGCATGTGCAGCTCTGCCCCCGGATGTGCGGCCTTTGAGTGGCCCCGCCCCCGGGTGCCTGGCAGCCCCAAAAGGTTGGGGACCACTGATCTAGAGAGTTTCGGGTGAGGAGACTTTATCCGTGAGGGGGAGACAGGACCAAACAGCGCCAGTCCGTAAGGACTGATGACAACTTCCCTCATCTCGAGACCAGTTCTCAATAACACACCCCTGGTGCTGATAAAGTCAAGCCCTCTCATGCAGATTCGCCGCTGTTGGCGATACATACGAATGCCTGCAGCCTCCTTTTCAAGCCACACCTGTGTTTCTGATCCACAGAAGAGATCAAAGGTGCACAGGTTTGGCCAAGCTCTACTTCAACATAACCCCAAACTGAGGCATCCAAAGCAAGCGGCAAAGCTGCCCAATGGCCCTTGTCCAGACACTCGGTGGAAGAGCAGGGAATGCACATTCCTCTCCCCTGATTTAACTGGTTTTCCAGGCCCTCTTGCTATTCAGTTCTTCCTGGGGGATAAGCAATGCATCACATTGCCACTGAACACCAAAACTGCTCCTTTACCAGCCATGGACATGTGCTAGTCTTAATTACGCTCTGAGTAACTCCTTTGTGTCCAGCAGCCCTGTTAGCATCATGAATGCTGTCAGTAGCTGACTTCTCCTGGACACAGAAGCACACAATGTGAGCTGAAATTAGACATTGCAGCTGATCTGACATTCATTGAGGCTGAGTCTGCCTAGAGAGAAGGGTTTCCTGCCCCACTCATTTAGTGTGTCTTGAGGGGGGCAAAAGAAACAGAGAACTTTAAAGAAACCAAACCAAACCAATCCGAAGCGTGCCATAATTCCAAAGAGGACTGCTGAAAACGCCCTCCAACTGCTACCCAGTGACATGTTTGGGGAAGTAACGAGCCCTGTGCAGATATAAAATTTATATCCACAGCCATATCTGCAAAAATGAGCTGTGCATATCAGCATTTGGATATCGGCATTGGCACCCGCAGATATAAAGTGGGTATCTGCAGATTTGCAGGGCTCTAGAGATAACTACATCATTAGGAGGCTGCTGCCATCTTTCTTTGTGGGTCTAATATGTTCACACAATTTACGCCAGACAAACAAATCAATGAGAGACCATTTTACTTAAAGGTTTACCCTCAACAGGGGACTTTCCTGTTCGACAGCATTTACTGCAACCACATTCCTCCACAACTCACAGTTTAAGTTTGTGTCAGCAAGTTTGCGCTTCTTTTCCATAGTACCTTGGAACTCAGAATACTCTGGTAAGCAACGTAAATCTTTTGTGGTTCTCAGTTACCTGACTTTTGCTCCTCTGAAGTTGCTGATAATTTCTCTGATCTTGACTAAACTAATTAACCTTGTTAGGGACCGCTCAGGTCACGAGGGTGCAGGACCAGGGAGGTCCAACCTAGATCAGAAAACAGCTATGAGATGATCAAACACAGCTGCTTCCTTTAACCAGAGTGGCCCAGAGGGATGCTTCTCACCTCCCCAAAAACATGATTTCCAGGAAGATCAACACATTTTAAACAATGCAGCCTCGTGTGGGAAGGCTTCAAGACTAGTCTGCACCTTAGAAGAAGTCATCCTCGAAGCCCTGTGCTGGCAGAGAAAAGAATCTTTATGAGCTCAGACTGGCAAGCTGGAGTTCACTGATGGCTAACTGGTTCAATTTCCACTTTGTACTCTGAATCAAGCTTCCCTGACCCTCCCTCCCCACCCCCACTGCTTAGTCAGGCCGTACTGTGGGTGGAACACCTGCTATGCACTGAAGACGACACAGAAGGAGGGGAGAAAAAAGCTAGTCCCCACGTTTTGCAGCAGAAGTCCGACGGGAGGGGGTGACGGCGCAGGGCCCTGTGAGATGGTCTGACGCCATCAGAGAAACGGCAAGGGGCTGCTGAGCTCACCCTGTGCCATGCCACAGAAGCAGGAGCATCCCTTCATTGAGCAAGGCATGCAGGACTGGGCCCTGCCTTCATTCATTCCTGAACATGCCTACGGGTTCTATTTACATATGCTAATGAAGGCTGCTGCTATCTCTGATATTGCACCGTCCATGGAGATGGCAAGAAAACCTTTCCACATGCATACAATTGCTTTGCGTAGAGTCACAGAACACGACAGCTGGAAGGGATCTTGCGAGGTCAAGTCCAGTCCTCTGCTCTCGTGGCAGAACTAAGCACCATCGAGAGCCTCCCTGACAGGTGTCTGTCCAACCTGCTCTTAATTATCTCCGGTGGTGGAAATTCCACAACCCCC